TCAATGTTGGACGCTGTTAGTGGCTTCACAGGTGTACAGTTGTTACCGGGCAGATGTGTGTGTAATACCCCTTTTGCGTGTGTCTGTGTGACTGGGAATGTTATTTTGTGCTTTATATGGTCAAAAACCCCTTCCAGGCTTTTATAAGGTGACCAAAATTGAGTGAACATATTGAGATGACTGCATGACTTCTCTTCTTTTCATTGTTTCTGACCAAATCCAGAGGTGACAAGTCTCATTCAGAGATCTGTTAGAGGAAACACATGCATGCACACACACTTTTCTGTATTCCCTTTGCATGATTTACCATTTCAACATTTATTTATAATATAAGGATTATCTTTTCAACACCTTAAAATAGCAGAAACATGGATCGATCAGTACACATTCAACAGTCATTCCTTGTTGTGGGCCAAATATGAAAAAAAAAAAAATTGATATTTACAATTTCTTGGAGAATTTTTGACAAAAAGTTTCTTCATTATTAGCAACAATAACATAATAATGTCCTTCTGGGATTATTAAAGTATTTCTGATTCTGATAAACCTCTGGCATTATGATAGTATATTCTCCTGCCATGGATCTCAGAGACAAATTATGGCTCATCCAGTGAAAATAAACTACCTTCATCACTGGTAACCTGTCTTGGAAGGTGATCTTATCTGAATTATCTGTGGTGGGTTTTTGGTTCCACTTTGGTAAGGTTCTCTGAAAAATAGATTGCTCATAAACTGAATCCCCATCCTCAGTGACCTGAAATGCAGAGCTGGCAGAGCAACTTTTTAAATAAAAGAAAAATAATGCTCGCCACTTAGAGGTAGCTGCGTTACCATGACGATAAGCAGTTAAAAAAAATCTTTATCACTGTGCATGTATTTATAGTAGTGGTGACGACCAATTATGTGGATAAATGTGAGCATTACCCACCATATTTTGCTGTAGGACTACATGCATGGGCTTAATTTCATCCTTTCGAATGAAGACTTGAAAGCACATTGCATAGCTTTGCGTTAAGATGAACTGGTGACTGATAATGATAAATACTGCCTGTGAAAACTTTCTAAAAATAATAATATAAAAACAAATGATCCCCAGAAATCTCAGTCCTCTCTTTTTTTTCCCCTTCTGCTGCACGTCGGTGTTCTATTTTTGTGAGAGCGAATTAAGACGAGCATAGACACAGTGTTATTTGATGAGGAGCTACAGGCGATAGATTGCATACCTCCAGCTTTGTTGGCAAGATAACCAACTGCATGCTGCCCTCTGTGGAGGCTACCCACATCACGTGGAGTGAGAAATCCCATTGTAGTCACAATTATTTTTTTACTCCAAGCTTTTTAACACACTGAGCTTGTTGATTGTGCTATAGTCATGGAACAGTTAAAATTTGACAAAGTAAGTCTTTTATCCATGCTTTTCAACCCCACTCGATTTTTAACTGCTCTAATAATGACAATATTCCAGCTTGAAACCTGGAACCAAACAAAGAAACAAACATTGCTATTTTAATGCAGTTAATGTGAAACATTCTATGTGAGGAGGAGAAACCTTCTAAGAGGAGATGCATGTGGGTTGTAACACCGCACACAAGAATATTAGAAATCTCGACAGTTTTTATTCATAAACAGGTTATAGATTACAGCGTTTCATTGTGGATCCAACCAAGCATATTTTATGATTAACAAGTATTTGATAAATCACATATTGTTATTTCTGGAATTAACATTTTACACGTAATTCTTCTCTTTCGTGACAAATTTATATAGTGATAAATACATACAGTATGGTTTAAAATTACTGGAAAATATATAACTGAGTTCATAGGAGAAACATTACTCTCACACCAAGCATACTGTAAGATTACATGATATAGTGAGATTA